TTATATAAGAACTAAATTCCCAGCCCACCTCTTTCCCTTCAGGAAGGTGTCATTTTAAACTTGATCCAAAAGCACTGTGATAGTTTTATGAATAATTATATTGTTTTTGTTAACTGAAGAACAAGAATGAAGAACATACTGTAGTAGGATAGTATGCTCCTTTCCAGTAGATGAAAGTATGAGATAACCAGTTGTAAGAGTCTTTTATAGCTGAACTAGAATATGCAAACTATTCAGCGAGTTATTACCAAATAAAGAATTCTGACCGATGTGTACAAAAGGGAGGTATTTTGCCTCCCTACCCCACATCTCTTGACACACTTTCTCTCTCTTTCTGGGACTGTATAAGTCCAATGTAATACTTTCAGTTTGCATACCTCACCTTAAGAAAAACAGAACATAAAAATAAATAATTATTTAATAATTTGTTATTTGGCAAAGTGTTTAGTTTGGGGTTTTTTTTTTTGTAATTTTCTGATGTAGAGAAATCCAATGATTTATATTAATTTTAAATATGTAAAATTTAATAAGCTTTTAATGATGCTAATACATTTTTATATGATTGATTCGAGCATGTGTAATTAACAGTTTAGTTTCTCCCTTTCTGATGAATCCTTTCCACTTGTATTTCTTTGAACTTTCTTATTGCTCTCATTAGTATCCAAGGAAAAATGAATGAAGTGGCAATGGCAAGGTTGCCTTCTTGCTTCAGATCCTAAAATGAATGCACTAAGTATGATGGATGCTGAGTGCTTATGGACTTTTTCCCCCCAGAAACCCTTTCTAAAATCCTAATTCCTTTCTACAACTAAAATTACTTTAAATGTAATCAGAAGAAATGTTGATATGATTGAATGTTTTCTGTATCTGATGAGAAGCAAACCTTTATTAGTTTCTGTTATTGTCTTTATTTTCCTTTTTACTTTAGGTTTTGTCTGAATATTTCCTAACCTCCTGAGTTAAACACTTAGCTTATTAATTTTTATTCTTCTTTCTAACTTGAGCATACTTTAACTATAATTTTCCTCCTCAGCATCCCTTTAGTTGTGTTTTATAAGTTTCAGGAAGTAATAGTTTTGCTTTCTTTTTTCCTAAAATATTTTTTGTTTTAATTTATATTATAATTCTTTTCTTTCAACATTTAATTTTTTAAGAGTCTTTTTAAAAAAGTACTTTGTAATGTTTTTGGTGATGATTTCTAACATAACTGCATTCTGTTCAACTCATCTGGTTTATGATCTGTCCTTGAGACTTGCTCTATGGCATAGTAGATGTTCGGTTTTTCAAAGTGTTTCAAATAGCTATAAAAAGAATGTATATTCTCCAGTCACTGGATATAATGCTTTCATGTGTCTCTTAGGTCAGGCTTGATAATTGTTTTATTCACATCTTTATCTCTAATTTTTTAAAATCTCACCATAATGATGGATTTGTCCATTTGCTTCTTATAGTTCTGTTACTTTTGCTTATATATGTTGAAGTTAGGTTATTAGGTTGTATTAAGTTAATTGTTATAGCAGAGAAGTATTTTTAAATATTTATTACTGTGAAGTGACTCTGATACTCATTGAGGGAAAAAGCCTTAATTGTATGACATTTGGGCTTCCCTAATACCATGGCTCAGTTGGTCAAGAATCCGCCTGCCATGTGGGAGACCTGAGTTTGATCCCTGGGTTGGAATGATCTCCTATAGAAGGGAAAAGCTACCCACTCCAGTATTCTGACCTGGAGAATTCCATGGACTTACTCCATGGGGTCACAAGGAGTCAGACTCAACTGAGCGACTTTCACTTTGAATATACAGAACAAGGTTTTGCTGGTATTGGCCAGATTTATCTTTTTGCGTCACCATACTTTTCATCCTTTCTATGCGGTTAAAATATGAGTGAAGTAAGCCAGAAAGATAAAGACCAATACAGTGTACTAACGCATATATATGGAATTTAGAAAGATGGTAACGATAACCCTATATGCAAAACAGAAAAAGAGACACAGATGTACAGAACAGACTTTTGGACTCTGTGGGAGAAGGCGAGGGTGGGATGTTTTGAGAGAACAGCATCGAAACATGTATATTATCAAGGGTGAAACAGATAACCAGCCCAGGCTGGATGCATGAGACAAGTGCTCGGGCCTGGTGCACTGGGAAGACCCAGAGGGGTGGGGTGGGGAGAGAGGTGGGAGGGGGGATGGGGATGGGGAATACATGTAAATCCATGGCTGATTCATGTCAATGTATGGCAAAAGCCACTACAATATTGTAAACTAATTAGCCTCCAACTAATTAAAATAAATGGAAAAAATAAATAAAATTTTTAAAAAAACACTAAAAAAAAATAAGTGTTTCAAACACTAAAAAAAAGTAAGTGTTTCTTAAACAGCGTATAGTTTAACTAATTTGTTATATTATCCTTCTGAAAGCCTTCATCTTTTAACTGGAGAAATGAGTCCATTTATTGTGACTGTTGATATGCTTGGGTTATATCAGCCATCTAATTTGTGCTTTCTATGTGTCCTAAGTTCCCAAGTTCATTTTTCTCCGATCTTGTTTGACTAATTACATTTTCATATTTTCATCCCTTTTTGTAATAGTTAGAAATTACATTTCTTTTTTTTAGTTATCTAGATATTTTAACATACATATTTAACAACATCCAATGTTAATCTGTATCTTCAGTATCTTCCTGAACAGTGTAAGGATATTAAAATGTGTTTTTTAACTCTCAGATTTCTCCCTCTAACTTATATGCTATCATTGTCCTGAATTTTAGTTCCAGCTTATATTTTTAATCCCACAAAGTCTTTCTGCTCTCTGTTTTCCTCTGTCATCTTTGCCAGCTGCTGCTCCTATACCAGGCTCCCTCCTGAGCCCTCATCTCCCTCCGCTCTTCCCCCAGGAGGTGAAAGTGTTCTGTTCAACTTATTCCCTGACTTCTGAATTTATATTTTCCACCAGGCTACAGTTTCTAATAATAGATCTATATATCCTGTAACCTACTTGATATCTTTACCCTGTTTCATGGGCATTTCAAATTTATTATTTCAGTTTGGATAGATTTCACCAACATTTTTATCCCATACCTCAGTTCTATTCTTATTTTGCTTTTATGATCTAATAAATTACATTCCTTTTACCATCTTACTCATCGCAGAAACCTGGTTCTTTTTTTTTTTTTTTTTTTCCTGGTTCATTTTTTAACTGATTCTGTCTTCCCTTCATCACTGTATTCACAAGGCTTAATTCATTCCACATTATTTGTTTAGTCACTCAGTCTTGTCCAACTCTTTGCACCCCATGGACTGTAGCCTGCCAGGTTCCTCTGTCCACGGGTTTCCCAGGCAAGAATACTAGAGTTGGTTGTCATTTCCTTCTCCACGGGATCTTCATGACCCAGAGATCCAACCCAGGTTTCCTAAGAGTCTCCTGCATTGCAGGCAGATTGTTTTACCACTGAGCCACAGGGAAGTCTAGTTCACATTAAGGATATCTTAAATTTGTTCCTTTCTTTTTATCTCCACTATCAGATACTTCAGTGCAAGCTATTACACATCTTACCCAGGCCAAAACAGTAACCATCCATGATGTAAATTCCACTTTTGAAATAGCAGTAGAATCCCTGTTCCTTAGGACCTTGAAGACTGGATGCACCATTGACATGTTAACTGGTCTTCCTGCTTTAAGTTAGATCTATCCCAAAGTCATTCTCCGTATGGCAGGTAAACAGTTTTTTAAAATGATAGATCTAATCACGTTACTCATTGACTTAGAAGCCTTCAGTGCCTCCTGATTGCTCTTACAATGAAAACCAGACTTTTTAATGTGCCTTAGAAGTAGTCCCTGCATGATCTCAGACTTGCCTACCTTTGCAGCCTTGTCACTACCCGATTTACTTAGCTCACTGTAGTCATACATAGCAGGCTTCTCTGATCACAGGGTCTAAGGGTGCAGTCTCCTAATACAGGACGACCACACATACTCTTTCTACCCAAAATGTCTGGAGGCTTTTCTTCTCCTGTCTCTACCTCTTCTCAAACACACACACACAAAGTTCACGTTCATTTTACACATCCTTCAGATTTCAACCTGAATTAGGAGTAATGTTCTTATGGAGTCCTTTGCTCACCAGTTCCAAGTCAAAATTACATCCTCTCAAAGTATTCTGTGATTATCACAAATGCAGTTATAGGTATATGTATGTATGTGTGTGTGTGTGTGTATATTTGTTTAATGTCTGTCTCCTCACCAGGTGGTAAGCGTAAGTTCTAGACTGTCAGAGACTGGGCCTAATTATTTTCATCATTATGTCCTAGTATCAGGTACATTGCTTGGCACGTGGACACTCATATATTTTGCATGAATGAAAGATTACATCCCATACCAAATTGGGGAAGGGAGACCGTGTCTTTCAACTATAAGAAGGGGAGAGACTTTATCTGTCTTTTATACATAAGGGAGCACAGGTTAGGTGGTCACTAAATGTTTTGAAGAAATAAAAGAAGGGGAAAGGAAGAAAAGGAAATTGGAAAGGAGACAGGAAAGAAAATGAAAAAAACTAAACATAAATCTTGGGTTACCGTCCTTGAGAAAAGTTATATCAACTGCTTTATCTCTCACTTAGGGGAAAAAAATGGATACTGGCTGCTATCATGCAATAAAATATGAAAATGCTTGCTGTGATAGTTTTTGGTGATTTTGTTTTATTTACATATCTGGTTGACAGAATGAGGAATATCACATGGGGTTACCCTCAGCCATACCCCCTTGAGCATGCACTTTCTAATCAAAACCTTTTTCAAAGTCTTATAAAGCAAAGATGCATTTTTATGCTTCCTTACTTAAACTTATGGATATCTACTTGTAATCCCCTCCTCCCTACCCATCGTTAAGACTTGACTTTGCGTACCATTATAAGGAATATTTGTAAAAATATAGTATGAACTATATATGTATGATTGATTAAATATAATTAATCATTGCCTGCTTATCTCCAAAATTATAGAAAAATATGTCGTAACTGCAAGTGTGGCCAAGAAGAGCATGATGTCCTCTTGAGCAATGAGGAGGATCGAAAAGTGGGGAAGCTTTTTGAAGACACCAAGTACACCACCCTGATTGCGAAGCTGAAGTCGGATGGCATTCCCATGTATAAACGCAATGTTATGATCCTGACCAATCCAGTTGCTGCCAAGAAGAATGTCTCCATTAATACAGTTACCTACGAATGGGCTCCTCCTGTCCAGAATCAGGCACTGGTAAATAATGAGGGGGAGGGAAGTCCCTTTATTAAAGCTCCTAGGCTACTTATCTAGGGCAGTTCCTTTAGTGACCTAACTGACCTCAGGTCTGTTACTTTTCTAGGGTTCCCATTACCTTGACTTCCAACTCCTATTGGACTTTTAGAAGTAAGATTAGATATCTCATAGAATTTTTCTCACTACATAGAAAATCGGTATTAACCTTTTCAAAGAAATGGCATGACATTTTCAGTAATTAAATGAAAAACATGTTTTGTATAAAGCTAGTAACTTCTTTGTTACTTTTGGGAAGATTTTTCTTAAGAAAAATCTTAAGAATTTCTTTCAATTTTTTGTAACTCAAAAGGTGGTCAACACTATATTTCTTTTACTGTATAAGGCAAAAAAATGCAATTTTGTGTCAAGCTCCTTCCACTAAGATAATAACTAGATGAGACATTTGGAAGTCTTTTAAGACGGTTAGTTAAATCATGAGAATGAATCTTGTGATATCATTTTCTTATAGAATAGTGATGATCCTTAGGCCATTCTGAACATGTGGCTTAAAAAATTGTTTTCTTTTTGCAGTTACACAGTTGTATTTTTGTTTGTTGGGGGGCTTTGTTTTTTCTTATGAATTTTATTGGAGTATAGTTGATTTACAATGTTGTGTTAGTTTCAGGTATATAGCAAAGTAATTTTAACACAAGTAAATATTAGTAACCTAAGTCTTTACAAACTAAAAAAATAAAGCTTTACTTTCATGAAGAAAAAAATTTGTTCATTTTTACTGACTAAATCTATTGCACAATTTTTAATGTGTTTTTTAATGTATTAACATCTCAAGATAACTTGGTATTATGAAGATCAATTGTTATTAGTGGATAAAACTGACTTCTTCAGTAATTTGATTCTAATGAGTATTACATAGTATCGTTTGTCTGATGGCCAAGGCATCTCCCAGTTAACACTGGTCTCCTTTGTGGTCTAGGCCAGGCAGTACATGCAAATGCTGCCCAAAGAGAAGCAGCCGGTGGCAGGCTCAGAGGGGGCACAGTACCGGAAGAAGCAGTTGGCAAAGCAACTCCCTGCCCATGACCAGGACCCTTCAAAATGCCACGAATTGTCTCCCAAAGAGGTGAAGGAGATGGAGCAGTTTGTGAAGAAATACAAGAGCGAGGCTCTGGGCGTAGGAGATGTCAAGCTCCCCCGTGACATGAACACTCAAGGCCCCAACAGAATGTACATTCCTGGAGGGGACAGAAGCACCACAACAGCAGTAGGGGCCATGGAGGACAAGTCAGCGGAACACAAAAGAACTCAGTATGTAAGTGAAGCAGTCATGATGGTGGCCCCTTTGGTATATTTTACAGGTTCATTCCATTTCTTTGAATTGTGGGAGACTATTGGGGGAAAGTTGCATTCCTCTGTTTCCAGAAGGGAATGGATGAGGGAAGTAAATTTAATTATAATTTCAGTTTAGGCTTATTTTAGAGAATTATCATGTATCATGTTTGAAACCTTGGTCTAAAGCCAAGCTTTCTGATTATCTGTTGCCAAAGATAATTACAAGTGTTATGTATACACAGCAGTTAACATGGTGTCATGCTGGAATAAAACATACAATCTAGAATCTGTTTCTAAACATAATTTTGCTGTTAATTGTTATTCTCTTCCCATAAATAAGAATAATATATACTTAGGTTAATTCGGTTTTGCTCGTGAGAATGGGCATAAAATTAAACTTAAATATGTAGATATATAATCAATCATACTTTTAAAAAATGTCTCCTAAGACAGGGAAATTGAAGTCATTTTTATGCCTTGAAAATAGAAAAAAATTGTGACACAGATGAACCAAAAATAAGAACTAAACTTACTGTAATATATTTCTTATAGATCCTGTTAGCACATCAACCAACCAGGCTTAGTCCTGTATTAAAACAGAAAAAAAAAAATGATACAGTAAGTTTTAAGGTAATCATTTTTGAGAGAACTACTTAAAACTGAGGTGCAAATTACTATTAGCCTTTTTCCATGAGCAACTTTGATTCAGTAAACAGTGCTCTGTTACACATTGGGCGCAAGAATTATGTTTGGAGAACTGGAAAAAGCCAAGGGATTCCTTTTCACAAATACTAACACCATACTGCCTATATGGACGAATTACTAATTTCAGTAGAAATTATTTCTCTTGGAAGTGGTTTCTCTGAGTTCCTACCAGCACTGTTGATGAGAAGTGCCGGTCTTGGGTGACTAGACTGTTTGGCTGGTTTCCCTTTCAGTCCTGCTACTGCTGCAAACTGAGTATGCAGGAGGGAGACCCAGCCATCTACGCTGAAAGGGCCGGATACGATAAACTGTGGCACCCAGCTTGTTTTGTCTGCAGCACCTGCCATGAACTCCTGGTTGACATGATTTATTTCTGGAAGAATGGCAAGCTGTACTGTGGCAGACACTACTGTGACAGTGAGAAACCCCGGTGCGCTGGCTGTGATGAGGTATGTTCTCGAGGGCCACCTGCATGCAGGCGCCCTTTTGCATCTTCCTATGGTTCCCTCACCATGCTAACCAGACCTCCCTTAGCAAGAAAGCAGAATAAATTAACCCAGTATCGTGTGCTTTATTTACATCCAAAAAAGTTGGATGAAAAAAACGTTTCAGTCATTCTGAATGCCATGTTTATTGTGTTGACAAATGAAGACTGTCCAGATACCTAAAACATTGATTTGAACTAACCAAGTAATCATTCAAGTTCAAGCTTTAGGTTATCTTCAGACTTCAAACCCCCAAAAGTAGACTGATATTTCTTGTGGTTCTAAATCTGTTGTGTAAAGAACGTAGCTTGGTCATTTGAAGCAAAAAGGAAAAAACATGATTGATTTTATTTTTATTCTCTTTCTAGCTGATATTCAGTAACGAGTATACCCAGGCAGAAAACCAAAATTGGCATCTGAAACATTTCTGCTGCTTTGACTGTGACAACATCCTAGCTGGGGAAATATACGTGATGGTCAATGACAAGCCCGTGTGCAAACCCTGTTATGTGAAGAACCATGCTGTGGTAAGAGACATCTTGGGATTCGGTAGCCTTGACCTGCTTTATTTAAGTCTCTTACAGAGGAGAAACAAAGTACTACTCTCAAATAGGAAACAGGTGAATTCTACCATAGGGTGTTAAAGTCCAGGTAATTCGTTAAAATCCAGGTACATGCGTTGACTAGGATGAACCACCTCAAGATTCTGTATGTGCAGTTTACACTATAAAGTGCTACTTGATAACCAAATCTCCACCAAAAAAATTCCTTAATGGGAGTAAGATTGATTGATTCTTATCATACAGATCAGCTTTCACTTAACTAAAGGTTTTTAGAGACTGTTCATATGCCTTAGCTCTATTTGAATGTTTATGTTTCTGTTCATGTTACCAGATTACGCACTGTGGCTTTCTTTTTGCTACCTGGAGCTTGTACAGTGCCCTTTCTTAAACCCTCACTGAGTTAATATATATGTGAAACAAAATTTCAGAACAAAATTTGACTTGCATGTTTATTTGCATAAGCCAAACATTCAAATATTTAATGTGAAAAAATATATATATATATGTGTGTGTGTGTGTGTCTGTGTGTCTGTGTGTATACAAACACACACACACATATAAGTATATGTATAAAATCTACCATGCTTACACAGAGCTTCTATTGCATGATGGCCCATAGATAGATAAAGAGTAGATAAAGAGTTGACCATATAAAGTTTATAATCCAGGAATATTAAAAGGATAGATGTTTACTTTATATGCAGGTAAATAAGTACTAAAGATCTCCCTGAACTATCAACTAGAGGAGACTCCTGGCTGAGGAATATAATGATGTATTTATTTAGTTTTAGGAGTATGATATTAATATGAAAACAGGTTAAGAAGTTTTGGTGTCAGTGCCAGTTTTCAACCTTTACCCATTGCCCTCAGATATAATCTATCAGCTATCATTTTCTATCAACTCTGCCTCATCAATGTATCTCAGGTTATCACAGTCACAACTATTCCACTTCAGAGCTTTATTTTTTTGTCATTTTGATTATTATAGCGACCTCAAATTTGGCCTCCCCATTTCCATTCTTCTTGTTCAAAGCTACCTTCCATAATGATGGAAGATAATCTTTCTAAAATGCAAATCTGAACATCAAGACTTTACTTAATAGATCCAGCCCCTTCTTACCTATCCAGCCACTTTTACTAGTTGTTGTTCAGTCGTGTCCAACTCTTTGTGATCCTGTGGACTGCAGCAGGCCAGGCTACCCTACTAGTTATCTAACCCAAATCATACCATTTCCCAAGTTACCTGCACTTCGTAGTTTATACTGTTCTTTGTCTTCTGCTAACACTCATTCCTTTGTCTGATATATCTTCCTATTCTGTTTTTATTTATTTATTTATTTTTGGCTGTGCCACGTGACTTGTAGGCTGTTAGTTCCCTGACCAGGGATTGAACCCAGGCCCCTGGCAGTAAAATCACTAGGTCCTAACCACTGGGTTGCCAGAGGATCCCCTCTCTGTTTTACCTGATTATACCTGCACACTCCTCCAGACTCAGTTTAAGCTTAACTTTTTCAGAACACCTTTCCTGATTCCCTACCCACGTGCCACCCCTTTCTCTCTGGCTAGGCAGGATGTCTGTTCCCTTGGGGCTCTTTGTGTACTTGCCCACATGTGTGACTGTCAATATCACTCATCTGTCTCTTCCACCAGACTGTAAATAGCTGGAGCACAGAGCTTCCCTCTATTTCCATACCCTCAATGTTTGCACTTAGGAAATGTTTGAGTGACTGACTTGTGTTTTAATGTTTCTCATTTTCTTTGAGGGTCAACATGGACCCTCTGTATATCTGAGGATAAGATGTTGAATTACCATACAGTCTAATAGATTATTTAGCTTAAAAAAATGCTTCCCTGAATGTAGTTGCAACAGTTTCTCTAGAGAAGAGGATTACCATAATATGCAGTTCACTGTATGATGTGTTACCTTGGCCTTAGGGACTAGAATGTAAACTCCATGAGGGCAGGGATTTTGTCTGCTTCTTTTCTGTTCTATTTTCAACACTAGAACAACACAGCAGGCACTCATATTTATAGAATAAAGCTTTTAACAGATGAAGCTACTTTGTTATTAATGCAGGCTTCTCTCCATTACGTTGCAGTAGTTATTGGAGAGGAATAACTACAGAGAGAATGCCAGAAACTCTAAATTATTTAGCTTTATAATATGGCATGATTTATTTTAGAAGGTATACTTTCTCAATAAGATACACTTATTGCCACATGCTTAATACTAAAATGAATATTCATCACCTGAACAAAACTTAGGTGATAGCAGCATGCTAAAGGATATAAAAATTGGAAGATTGTCTAGTTCTGGGCATTGACCTGCTTAGATCTTTTAATTTAAAAAAAAAAAGGGAGTGAGAATATAGTTATTTTTAGACCTGAAGCTAAAACCTCAACTCAAAAAAGGACTTTTCTGAAGAAAAAATTAACCTGGAAGGAGGAAAGTGGGAAATACACTTAGTTTGTCTCTGCATGGTTTCTGGAATTCCAGTCTCAAATGGCCACTCCAAGATTTCACATCTCTGAGATTTCACAGGACCCTACTGCTAGAGAGCAAGCGTCATTATCAATTTTTAAATTTTATAATTTATATACAAATAAGTAAAAGAAGTAGGAATTGAAGGAAATAATAACATATTGGATTATTAGCAGTTTAATTAAGAATTCAGGATAAACAAATATCAATCATAGTGTGGTGAATGAAGTCCATCAACTCCCTGACTGGTCCTGGAGGCTCCAGACCCTTAGTTGATTCCTGGGCAGCTTTCAGATTTATGAAGAATTAGGGATGTGGATCGGTAGGTTTTACTTGGGGACATGTCAGATTTGGGGATGAATGGCAATCAAATTATTAATAAACCTAAATTTTTTGAAGCGCACAAACCCTACATTCTATGCTAGTTCAGTTCAGTCACTCAGTCATGTCCAACTCTTTGCGACAGCATGAACCGCAGCACACCAGGCCTCCCTGTTCATCACCAACTCCCGGAGTCTACCCAAACTCATGTCCATTGAGTCGGTGATGCCATCCAACCATCTCATCCTCTGTTGTCCCCTTCTTCTCCTTCCCTCAATCTTTCCCATCATCAGGGTCTTTTCAAATAAGTCAGCTCTTCGCATCAGGTGGCCAAAATATTGGAGCTTCAGCTTCAACATCAGTCCTTCCAATGAACACCCAAGACTGATCTTTAGGATGGACTGGTTGGATCTCCTTGCAGTCCAAGAGACTCTCAAGAGTCTTCTCCAACACCACAGTTCAAAAGCATCAATTCTTCGGTGCTCAGCTTTCTTTATAGTCCAACTCTCACATCCATGCATGACTACTGGAAAAACCATAGCCTTGACTAGATGGACTTTTGTTGGCAAAGTAATGTCTCTGCTTTTTAATATGCTGTCTAGGTTTGTCATAACTCTCCTTCCAAGGAGTAAGAGTCTTTTAATTTCATGGCTGCAGTCACCATCTGCACTGATTTGGGAGCCCCCAAAAATAAAGTCAGCCACTGTTCCCACTGTTTCCCCATCTATTTGCCATGAAGTGATGGGACCGGATGCCATAATTTTATTTATCTGAATGTTGAGCTATAAGGCAACTTTTTCACTCTGCGTTTTCACTTTCATCAAGAGGCTTTTTAGTTCTTCACTTTCTGCCATAAAAGTGGTGTCATCTGCATATCTGAGGCTATTGATATTTCTCCTGGCAATCTTGATTCCAGCCTGTGCTTCCTCCAGCCTAGCATTTCTCATGATGTACTCTGCATATAAGTTAAACAAGCAGGGTGACAATATACAGCCCTGATGTACTCCTTTTCCTATTTGGAAACAGTCTGTTGTTCAGTGTCCAGTTCTAACTGTTGCTTCCTGACCTGCATATAGGTTTCTCAAGAGGCAGGCCAGGTGGTCTGGTATTCCCATCTGTTTCAGAATTTTCCACAGTTTATTGTGATCCACACAGTCAAAGGCTTTGACTTTAAAGCAGAAATAGATGTTTTTCTGGAACTCTCTTGCTTTTTTGATGATCCAGCAGATGTTGGCAATTTGACCTCTGGTTCCTCTGCCTTTTCTAAAACCAGCTTCAACATCTGGAAGTTCATGGTTCACATATTGCTGAAGCCTGGCTTGGAGAATTTTGAGCATTACTTTACTAGTGTGTGAGATGAGTGTAATTGTGGGGTAGTTTGAGCATTCTTTGGGATTGCCTTTCTTTGGGATTGGAATGAAAACTGACCTTTTCCAGTCCTGTGGCCACTGCTGAGTTTTCCAAATTTGCTGACGTAGCGAGTGCAGCACTTTCACAGCATCATCTTTTAGGATTTGAAATAGCTCCTGGAATTTCATCACCTCCACTAGCTTTGTTCGTAGTGATGCTTCCTAAGGCCCACTTGACTCACATTCCAGGATGTCTGGCTCTCGGTGAGTGTGAGTGATCACACCATCGTGATTATCTGGGTCATGAAGATCTTTTTTGTACAGTTCTTCTGTGTATTCTTGCCACCTCTTCTTAACATCTTCTGTTTCTGTTAAGTCCATACCTTTTCCATCCTTTATTGAGCCCATCTTTGCATGAAATGTTCCCTTGGTATCTCTAATTTTCTTGACGAGATCTCTAGTCTTTCCCATTCTGTTGTTTTCCTCTATTTCTTTGCATTGATCACTGAGGAAGGCTTTCTTATCCCTCCTTGCTATTAACTCTGCATTCAAATGGAAATATCTTTTCTTTTCTCCATTGCTTTTCACTTCTTTTCACAGCTATTTGTAAGGCCTCCTCAGACAGCCATTTTGCTTTTTTGTATTTCTTTTTCTTGGGGATGGTCTTGATTCCTATCTCCTGTACAATGTCACGAACCTCCATCCATAGTTCATCAGGCACTCTATCAGATCTAGTCCTTTAAATCTATTTCTCACTTCCACTGTATAGTCATAAGGGATTTGATTTAGGTCATATCTGAATGGTCTAGTGGTTTTTCCCACTTTCTTCAATTTAAGTCTGAATTTGGCAATAAGGAGTTCATGATCTGAGGTACAGTCAACTCCTGGTCTTGTTTTTGCTGACTGTATAGAGCTTCTCCATCTTTGGCTGCAAAGAATATAATCCATCTGATTTCGATGTTGACCATCTGGTGATGTCCATGTGTAGAGTCTTCTTTTCCATTGTTGGAAGCGGGTGTTTGCTATGACCATTGCATTCTCTTGGCAGAACTCTATTAGCCTTTGCCCTGCTTCATTCTGTACTCCAAATTGTACTCCAAATTTGCCTGTTGCTGCTATTTAGTATGTTAAATTTTTTTCCAAAACAGTTTCCTTAATTGTACATAGAACAGTATTTATCACTTTTAAAAATTACAGTGAAAACATGAGTTTTGAAAGACTATAAAATGATCTAAAAATATTATTAAAGGGCTGAAATACAGAGGGTAGATCATGATCTAAAATCAGGGGAATAAAAAATTGAGTGTGAAAACAACAAAGGGCAACATTCTAAGTGAATTACAAAGCTATTCAAAAGCCATTGCTTGCATGGTGCAGCTATAGATTAGGAGTCATTGTAATCAAAAGTCATTTTTGTTGTATTCAGGATCGATCATTCAAAGATCTCCCCTGCTTCCCAGGGAAGACTGGGTTGACATAAACTGTGAGATAAGGAGTTACAGTCTCTGTAATTAGAAACCTTGTAGTTATCCAAAAATATAGAAAATATTACTATATTGCAGGTCTGAAATGGATATCTATACCAAGGCCTCCACCACATGTTAATTCAATTCACCCAGTGAGTGGCAGTCACACACCTGTGACCCTCCTCAACCCATCCACCTTCATCACACAGGAATTCCTGACAATCACATTAAGAGACCAAGAGTGCAGAAGATTAGCCACTTTTATGTAATGCTGGACAATCTTACTGGTTTCCTCATTTGTTATAAAATATTTAAAACAAGAATATTAGGTGGCAGTTTCATTCATAACACATATAAACAAGAAGGCATATGAACTATCTAATGTTTTGGAGCTCTCAGTTGGGTAGTTTTGTCTTCTGCTGTGATAATGCCAATTATTCATTTATTTTCTTGCTAAACATGTTCAGCTAAAGAAGAAAATTATGTGTGTTTGTGGGTGTGGATGTGTATATCTCATATTTATCTGTACATAACATACATACATACTGAATGGCATATGGAATATAAGTGCTAATATTCCATGATATTTGATTTCACATAAATTATGACATGACAGAAGAGATATTTTTAGTGCACACTAGTTATTCTCAAACACTGTCAGTATTTTTGATTGAGTCCTGAATTACTTTGAACATAGTTTTCACTTCTGTGTGCTAAGTCACTTCAATCGTGTCCGACTCTTTGCGACCCTGTGGACTGTAGCCCATCAGACTCCTCTGTCCATGGGATTCTCCAGGCAAGAATACTGGAGTGGGTTGCCATTCCCTTCTCCAGATTTTCACTTACTGTTGTCTAAAAATTAGTAGTGTTAATCATCTCACGTGTCATAGGTAAGACTGGTAAAATTATCACTTCCGAGCTTTAGTGAATGAGGAAAAAATCGTTTTAAAAAAGACTATTTTTTTAGAGCAGTTTTAGGTTTATAACAAAATTAAGAGGGAAATACAGAGATTTCCCATATATTCCCTACTCCCACACATGCATTGCCTTGTGCATTATCAACATCACTCACTAGAGTGTTAACATTTTTTTAATAAGGATGAATCTACATGGACATCATAATCACCCAAAGTCCATAATTTAGCTTAGAGTTCACTCTTGATGTTGTGTGGTCTCTGGTTTGGACAAATGGCATATATCCATTATTGTAAAAGAGAATATTTTTACTGGCCTATAAGCCCTCTGTGCTCTGCCTATTCATCTCTTCAACCTGCCTGTCTCCTACTCCATACCCCTAGCCATCAATGGTCTTTTTATTTTCTCCGTAGTTTTGCCTTTGCTAGAATGTCATATAGTTGGAATCATATAGCATATAGCTTTTCCAGATTAGCTTCTTTCATTTAGTAATGTGCATTTCCTCCATGACATGATAGCTCATGTCTTTTTAGCTCTAAGAAGTATGAATGTGTTATAATTTTTTATCCATTTACCCACTGATGGACATCCTGGTTGCTTCCAGATTTTGGCAATTACAATTAAAGCACCATGTGCAGGTTTCTTTGTGGACATAAGTTTTCAAGTCATTTAGATAAATACCAAAGAGCATGACTGCTGGAGTATATGATCAAAGTATGCTTAGTTTTAGTATAAGAAACAGCCAAACTGTCTTCCACATGAGTTGAAACATTTTGCATTCCCACCAGCAATGAATGAGAGTACCTGTTACCAGCATTTGTAATCTAGGAAAAATCATAAAACTTAAAAAATATATATAACTGCTAATATACAATCTAATAGATACACTAGAACCGAACACACTGCTTTGGAACTTCAAGACTTTCTGCCTTGAACACCCATGGTTTATCTTAGAAGCATCAAGTGCTGTTTGGACTTCACCTGTTATTTCTCACATGCTCCGCATATAGCTATGAAGGTTAACTAGAAGGTCATTCTCAGTTGTGTATCTTTGAGGTTGTCATTCTTGGTTTATTTTGCCATCTAAAGAAATGTACTGTTCTAACGTGAAAATGTTCCCATCACAGTTTGATCTCTCATCCTCTTCTCTTCTTTGTATAACCACCTTAACAGGTATGTCAAGGATGCCACAATGCCATTGATCCCGAAGTGCAGCGGGTGACCTATAACAACTTTAGCTGGCACGCGTCCACAGAGTGCTTTCTGTGCTCCTGCTGCAGCAAGTGTCTCATTGGGCAGAAGTTCATGCCAGTAGAAGGGATGGTTTTCTGCTCAGTGGAGTGTAAGAAGATGATGTCTTAAGAGGAGAGCACCAAGCAATATTGAGCCCTAGCTATCCAGAGTGGTCTGCATTTCTACTTACTGTAAAATGCAATTTGGAAAAATAAAAGGGAAAAAAAAGAAACTATAAAGGAAACCAGGAAATTTGTTCAGTATCTTTCTTTGCTGTTTTTCCTAACCAAATTTTTGCATCTCAATTTTTAAAACCTGCTTTAAGCATTTAATTTTTAAAATGGTAAAGAATTTTACCTTTCTTTGGCTTTCCAGATGTAAAATCTTTTGAGTTGGAAGCTTGAGTTTAATATCTTCATATTCCTACCTTCTTTGTGCCAAACACAGTTATATGAAAACTTAAAAGTTAGTGTTTGAATGGAAAGATGAGCATTTCATGTTCTATATTCTTTTTCCCTTCTTGTATAAAATGAAAAGGAAATTAAACTTGCCCTAATGCCAGGGCTCTACGTTTATTGCCTCATCTTATTCGCTGAATTTTGTAGTAATACACAGTGAATTCTTTTGACAGAGAAAATAGAAATGCAGCATAATATGAAGAACTGTTATCATTTTAATGTCTATGCATTTGCTATTTCCTAACTTAGGCAGAGATGGCTTTACTGCGTATCTCTATTTTTTTAATCTGCTCTACCTCTCAATATTCTCTTTGTAAGCTGATGACCTCCATTTGTGGCCTTGAATATTTTATTGTCACATGTGGCTTCCACACTTTTTACTTCTATAGATGATTTTTGGCAAGCCACTCATTTAATGTTATATTTTCAATCCAAAGAACATGTATACTTTTTTTGTATCCAAGAAACTATAACTTGTACTCTTTGCACTTGGCTGTGTGGTTTGAATAAACTTTTTGCATGGTTTCCATTCTTTTCTAATGGATACTGTCCTATGATATAATGCCTGTTCGTGGATATATAACAAATGTCTTCTTTGCCTGTATACTTCCTTCCTTAGGTATTTCTAATGTTTATTTTTCCTTTTCTACTTCCATACATAGCTATGCACTATGAAAATTAAATGTAATGAATGATATATGTATTATTACTCAAAATAAAGTCTCTTTCACTTTAATAATTATACATTTATTTTTTTGTATCTTTTTCATTTGAGAGCGAAAAAATCCTTCTGCAATTAAGCATTTGTTACAGCAGGGGGCAGTGTTTCCAAGGATAAAAAATAACCTGACAAATAAGGGCTACTTCCTGACGAAACAGGACAAACTAGACTTTTCATTATGGTGAAGGGATAAGTTTTACGAAACTTCATAATAAGTGAAAACATTTAAATAGTTGGTTTTCAAGTCGTGTATGAGTTTTTTCTTTCAGAAAAAAGAAAGTGTCGTTTTAATTGAAGTTGGGAAAGCTACATTCTTTTGAGGTAAGTCTGCTGCTGCTGCTGCTGCTAAGTCGCTTCAGTTGTGTCCGACTCTATACGACCCTATGGACAGCAGTCCACCAGGCTCCTCTGTCCACAGGATTCTCTAGGCAAGAATACCGGAGTGGGTTGCCATTTCCTTCTCCAAGGAGATGTAGAGGCTCAAGAAATTTGGCTAAATCCGTCACTCACTACCTGAGATACTGATTGCATGAATATTAGGCATTTCCTGGAAGAAGAAACTACTTTGCCTGAGGAATACAGAACCTTTGTTTTGATTCATTACCCTGACTTAGTTTTACTTTGGCCTTGTAGTACAATAGAATGAACTGTAATGAAAGGTAATGCAAGAGAATGTGAACCATTTTCATTGTTCATCACAGTTTTTTTTTAAATGTTCTTCGAATACTTTGCCCTTTAAGCACTTAACAAGAGAGTAAGATGGTTACTAGATTCTATAAGATTTTCCTTTTCTAGCACTTAGGATATGGTCACCCCATTTTATATAATCATCACTTTATATTTTGCATTGACTTCAATTCTAAATAATGGCTTACTTGATACAGGTGCCAGCATTAAATCCTTCGCTTGCAATGGGGAAAAGATAAGAAAGTAATATTTCTATCTGAATGTGTGCATTTTTTCCTTCAAAAATAGATATGAAGAATAACCTTTTGGCCTACTTACTTCCTTTGGGGTCAATAAATGGAAATTTCTATCATCCAAATCCCATTTAAGTTATATTTTTCAAATATATAGCTTATACCTTTTTTGTACTCAGTATAGCAGGCATTTGACTAACATGTCTGTGTATTGATAATTAGCAGTTGAGAGACACTTAGCCTGAAATGGACTAGATCAGGAGGGACAGAATACTGGGATATGAACCACACAATAAAGGTACCACAGACAGTAAGAAAATAAATTAATTTTCCCCTCTTAGTCACCTGTTCAGCAGTGGGTACTTCAGAACAGCAATGTTAGATGCAGAAAGAGAAGGGAGATATTTCTTTCCTGAGACCCAGGAAGTTCGAAAGATTTTGACACATCAGTTGGGGGAGTATATTGAAGTAATATACTTTTCATCCTTATTGGAAGAAGCAGACATTAGAATGACCAATCATGAACTCATCACAGAATCTGCATATCCTATTCCTCTTTTAAGGGCTTCCCAGGTGGCTCAGTGGTAAAGAATCCTCCTACCAATGCAGGAGATGCAGGTTTGATCCCTGGGTTGAGAAGATTCCCTGGAGTAGGAAATGGCAGCCCACTCCCATAATCTTGCCTGGAGAATCCCATGGACAGAGGAGCCTGGCAGGCTGCAGTCCAGATTGTCTCAAAGGGTCAGACATGACTGAGGGCACATGTATTCATCTCTAAGGAGAAGGATTTTGCTCTCAACTTTTGAATACAGTTGTAATTTTTTAAGAAATTAGTGTATTTTTGTTATCCAGTCCCTTTAAGAAATACAAGTTGCTCAAGAGACTAGTCGTCATACTTTTTGGTATGGTGTCTTTTTTTATCTAAAAAAAGTTTTTTTTTAAATAAGGGGCTGAAGGTTGTTTTTCCTTTTAATCAACTTTAGCTGAAATTTCTGTGACTCTGAAGTCTTCAAGCACAGATTTCCAAATCTGACTTTGAAGTATTTCAGCCCAATTTCACCAAAGGCGAGAGCTTCATTCCTGACTCATTCTTAAGGAATTTTCAACACGAAGTGTTTAAGCTCATCCAACTTCACCATGGTTACCAAAGAGACACCACAGCCCAAGATGAGCATTAAGCCTTTGTCTTAAGATGCCCTGGCATATCTGAACTTGTCTTCTGGCTGTTCACTTAATTCCTCAGAAAACTTATGACTCCATCAATGTCTCCATAAAATAGCACTTTACCACACATTCTTGCTAGATATGTTCTGCCCCTCCCTGACCTCTCCCAATTTGAGTGCTCAATAAGAACTCTTAACATTGAACTGGATATTCACATACATGAAAGGACTCACTGGGGTACATGGGTGTGTTTTGAGCAAACAACCTAAAACATATTCTTGCTTGATTAATGAGATTTCTTTTTCATGTATTTACTAGATGTTTAAATAGCTTTAGCTAAGTATTTTGTCTCTTCGTGGGCTGAAAACATGTCATTGTAGCTTCTATTTAATCTGATAATGTATTTTGAAACCCTCAAGACATCATTAACCTTTCATGTTGTTTTGAATGGCATTTTATGCTGACATTTTTAAAGGAGACTATTGATTTTTCTTCAGTGATACTTTTCCCCAGGATATCTTGACCTTCAGACAATAACACAAACAACTTGTACCCAGTTATCTTTACTAGAGCCAGCCATTATTGAATGCAGAAACATTTGAATTGATGTTCCCAAGTAGTGACTAACTTTGAAAGCATTATGGCGTAGTTCAAAGGAGAGTTGGGGTTAGGAGTCTGGAGACCTGGCTAAGTCCCACTGATCCTCTCTCTCCTCACAGTTACACTGAGTGGGACAGAGGAAAGACTGTTGGATTTGAGGAGTCTAGAGAATAACAGGCCTGAGTGTGGGTTGGACATCTACAAATATATTGAAGTCACCAAGAACGGTGATGTCAAAATTGGGAAAGGAGTATGTCAAGGCTGTATATTGTCACTTTATTTAACTTACATGCAGAGTACATCATGTGAAATTCGAGGCTGGATGAATCACAAGCTGGAATCAAGACTGCTGGGAGAAAGAACAAACCCAGACATGCTGATGATATCACCCTAATGGCAGAAAATAAAGAGGAACTAAATAGCCTCTTGATTAGGGTTAAAGAAGAAAATGAAAAGGCTGGCTTAAAACAACATTCAAAAAACATTTGAATGGCATCTGGTCCCATCACTTCATGACAAATAGATGGGGAAAAGGTAGAAACAGTGGCAGGTTTTATTTTCCTGGGCTCTCAAATCACCGTGGATGGTGGCTGCAGCTACGAAATTAAAAGACACTTACTCGTTGGAAGAAAAGCAATGATAAACCTAGACAGCATATTAAAAAGCAGAGACATTACTTTGCTGACAAAGGTCCATATACTTAAAGGTATGGGCTTCCCCTGGTGGCTCAGTGGTAAAAACCCACCTGCGATGCAGGAGTGGCAGGAGATGCAGGTTCGATCCCTGGGTTGGGAAGATGCCCTGGAGAAGGAAATGGCAACCCACTCCGGTATTCTTGCCTGGAGAATCCCATGTACAGAGGAGACTGGCAGTCCATAGGATTGCAAAGAGTCGGACACAACTGAAGCGACTTAGCATGGTTTTTCCAGTAGTCATGTACAGAAGTGAGAGTTGGACTATAAAGAAGGCTGCAAACCAAAGAATTGATACTTTGGAACTGTGGTGTTGGGGAAGACTCTTGAGAGTCCCTTGGACTGCAAGGAGATCAAACCTGTCCATCCTAAAGGAAATCAACCCAGAATAATCATTGGAAGGACTGATGGTGAAGCTGAAACTCCAGTAGTTTGGCCAGATGTGTAGAGTCGACTCACTGGAAAAGACCCTGTTGCTGGGAAAGATTAAGGGCAGGAGGAGAAGAGGGTGACAGAAGATGAGGTGGTTGGATGGCATCACCAACTCAGTGGACATATGAGTTTGAGTAAACGC